GAGCAGCAGCAGCAGCAGCAGCAGCAGCAGCAGCAGACCTTTTGAATTTGCTGCGCGAGTTCCCTCGTAGGCGCCAAAATAAGAACTTGACACGCCGGCTTGTCGTAGTCAATCTTCTGCAGCGCCGCTATCACAAAAGTCGCCGTTTTGCCCGTCCCGCTCTGCGCCTGGCCGATGGTGTCGTGGCCGTCAATAATTGGCTTTATGCCCCGCATTTGAATGGCGGAGGGCTTTTCGAAGCCGTAGGAGTAAATGCCTCTTAGTAGTTTTTCGTTGAGGGGGAGGCTGTCGAAGGAGGCGACGACTTCGTCTTCGAAGTCCGCGGCGGCCTCCTGCTGCTGCTCCAGCAGCTGCTGCTGCTGCTGCTGCTGCTGCTGCTGCGGGGGGGGGGTCTCCATTTTGCTGCTGCGTGGGAACGTGGCGGATGCTCTGAGCTGCCGAGCCGCAGCGGCTGCAGCGGCCGCAAGCAGCAGCAACGCCGCGCAGCAGCAGCCGCGATGGGCTGCTGCGGCCGCTGCTGCTGCCGCCGCTGCTGCTGCTGCGGGGCCTGCTGCTGCTGCTGCTGCTGCTGCGCCACCCGCAGCAACACACTACTTCCCAATAGCCCAACAGCCCTCTTTTCCTCTCCAACTCCTTTCTTTTTCCCCATCACCTCCTACGCAGAAACGCCAACTTTCCCGCGACCCCCGCGCAAGCGCGCCCAAGCCGCTGCTGCTGCTGCTGCTGCTGCTGCTGCTGCTGCTGCAGCAGCCCCACCACCGCCACGCGCCCCGGGCCGCCGCAGCGGAAAACCTCCCGCTGCTGCTGCTGCTGCTGCTGCTGCTAAAACCCCACACTTTGCAATTCGCACCCAACCAAAAGCCTCCAAACCCCACGCAGACACACCGCCACGCAGCGGCACGCACCGCCCCGCCGCCCCGTGCCCCACACCCGCAACCTGCTGCTGCTGCTGCTGCTGCTGCTGCTGCTGCTGCTGCTGCTGCTGCTGCGGGTGCGCGTTAAAGCGTTTGCGGCAGAAGCTTTTGCTTCCGCTGCTGAGGCCTTCCACTTAGCTGCGGCCCCCATATTTTAGCCGATACACACTGCTGCCAGGACCCCGCCGCACCTCCTGCTGCTGCTGCTGCTGCTGTGCTGCTGCTGCTGCTGCTGCAGCTGGCTGCGGCCTTTTTTAATGCTGCTGCAAATTCTTTTTAAATGTTTTAAACCCTAAGGGACACGCAGAGCCACGGAGACAGACAGGAAGAGACACACACCCTCTTCACCCCGTGTGCACAAGTGCTGCTGCTGCTGCTGCTGCAGCAGGTGCTGCAGCAGGTGCTGCGCAGACTTGGGCTGCTTTTGCTGCAGCAGCTGCAGCAAAATGCCACTTTTTTAATCTCCAAAAAATCTCCATAAAAATCAAAGTAGAAAAAAACCCCACAGGCTCCTGCTGCAGCCGGCCCTTCTCGGGTGTACGTACACCCGGACTGACTAGCCGCAGTGTGGGGTTTCTCCACGGCTGCGACTTTCCTCGCTTTTGCACTATCGCAGCACTAGGGTTTAGGGTTTAGGGTTTAGGGTTTAGGGTTTAGTGGGGGGCCCGGGGAAAGCGCAGCCTGCCCCGCAAGGGGCGCTGTTGAGGTGTACAGACACCTGAACGCGAGGCCCAACTGCGGAACTTTCATTTCTGGAAATCTTTAAATCCAAAAAAGATTTAAATTCAAATTTATGCATTTTGCTGCATGCAGCGAGCCCCTTGCTGCTCTAAGTTCGGCCTGGGCGGCTAAGATAGTGGAGAATAAGTGCAAATAAGAATCCCAAGTGTTTGCAAATGAAGAAATATTAATTTTAAATGCTTTTAGTCTTTTTGCATGCATGTGTAAAGGGCCCCAAAAGCTGTTTTGCGAAAAAAAGCCGACACCTGCGGTGTACGTACACCTCAACTTGCAGTGTACGTACACCTCAACTTGCAGTGTACGTACACCCCGCGCCAAGCCGCAGATCTTCCTGAAATTAATGAGACAAACAAAACAACAATAAACCCGCATGCATGCATGCATGCAAATACTCCAAAAAGCTCAAAAATATGTACAGAAATATATATGGAATAATAAAATATACATAGATATATGTGTGTGTGATATGTGTGTTGCAAAGTATATGCACAGCGTTCATATATATATTATATATCTACAAACTTGGTGCATTTTCCGAAAATGAATTAAAAGATCTTTTAAGTCTTCTTCAAAAAACAATTATCTTAAATTGCGCAAATGAAACAAAAAGACAAAAATGTTTGCTGCAGACACTGCCAGAAAAACCCAGGTGTACATACACCTGAATGCGCAGCACTTGGCAACTTTTTCTTTCCGCGCATGCACGGGGTGTACGTACAGCTCCGCTCGTGCATGCAAGTGAATCTTTTAAAACATGTTTGACAGAACTTTTTTTTATTTTTCAGAAACAATTTTGAATAAAACTGCCAATTAAGGTCTTCATTTATTTATTTCCTAAAACATGTCAGCTGCTTCCATTGCAGCTAAGTTTGAAAGCAACCTTTAAACAAACCCTAAACCCTAAACCCTAAACCCTAAACCCTTGTATGCGCGATGGGTCCAGAATGACCCACACACTCGAGCTACTTGCAAAGAGTTTTCTACTCTGTACTCTAGACCCTAAACCCTAAACCCTAAACCCTAAACCCTAATTCCTGCATTCAGAGTCCCCAAAAACTTAGGAATGAAACTAAATCTTAGTCCATATCCATTTAAGTATTCAAACTCAAAAGGGGAGCAGCAGCAGCAGCAGCAGCAGCAGCAGCAGAAGCGCCTCGAGTGGAGGTGCTTCTACTGCAAATACATGCTCGTGCTGTTGCAACCGCAGCAGCAGCATCAGTTGCTGCTGCTGCTGCTGCTGCTCCTGCTGCTGTTGCTAATAGTCCCACTGCTGTTGCTGCTTATTGTTCCACTGCTGCTGCTGCTGCTGCTGCTGCAACTGCAAGGGCCCCTACAGCAGCAGCTGCAGCCTGCTGACTCTTGTCATGCAGCCGCCCTTATACTGCTGTAGCACCTGGAGGTGCCACTGCCGCTGCCGCTGCAGCAGCAGCAGCAGCCGCTGCTGCTGCTGCTGCTGCTGCTGCTGCTGCTGCTGCTGCTGCTACAGAACCCCGCCTTTCTTGTAACTCATGAGCAAACCCCGGACTGTTTTGCCGCCGCTGCGGCTCCCCCCAGAACAGTGCTCAAGCAACTCGCTTGAAAACCACTCCTGGGAAGCAGCAGTGCTGCTGCTGCTGCTGCTGCTGCTGCTGCTGCTGCTGTGGTCAATGTAGGTGCTGCGCCGCTGCACCAGCTGCTGCTGCTGTTGCTGCTGCTGCTGCTGCCTCTTGCGGGGTGTCGAAGTCTCCAGCTGCTGCTCAGGGTTCAGCAGCACGCGCCTACGGGGCTCCCCCCCAAGGCCAGCGTCCGGCTGCTGCAGCAGTTGCTGCTGCAGCAGTTGCTGCTGCAGCAGCTGCTGCTGCAGCAGCTGCTGCTCCACTTGCTGCTTCTTCGTCACTGCTGCCGTCATCGTGGCTACTGTCGCTGCTCCCGTGTCTGCTGCTGCTGCGTGTCCTGCTGCAGCACAACAGCCTGCCGCTGCAACACCCGAGGCGCTTCCATCTTTCCTTGCAGTTGCTGCTGCTGCTGCTGCTGCTGCTGCTGCTGCTGCTGCTGCTGCTGCTGCCCCACTTCGAGACGCTGGTGAGAGAGACGCTGCAGGAGGAGAGACAGCGCCTCGTGAATGCAAACCTGACCAGTCTTGCTGCTGCTGGCCTTGCTGCTGCTGCTGGCCTTGCTGCTGCTGCTGCCCTTGCTCCTGCTGCTGCAGCTGTTTTTGCTGCTGCTGGTCATCTGGAGTGTCAGAGTCACTCAAGGTAATAACTACAAGGGAAGCAGCAGCAGCATCATCAGCATCGGCAGCAGCAATTGTCTCTGGTCTTTTTGACTGCGGCGAACTGCTGCTGCTGCTGCTGCTGCTGCTGCTGCTTCTGCTGCGGGCTTGCTGCCGCTTCAGACCGCTTTTGCTCGGCCTGCTTTGGCTGCAGTCACACTCTTCTGCTGCTGCAGGTGTTGCTGCTGCAGTTGCTGCTGCTGCCGCTGCTGCTGCTGCCGCTGGAGAACCCAATTGGTGCTGAATTTGCGATCTAGAGACGGAGGCAAAGAGCTGCTGTTCCCGCTGCTGCTGCTGCATCTGCTGCTGCTGCTTCTGCTGCTGTAGCTTTTGCTGCTGCTGCAGCGGTTGCTGCCGCGGTTGCTGAAGTGTCTCCTGCTGAGGCGTTTGATGCGGTCTAGGGCTTCGCTCCTCAGTATGCTGCAATCGTTGCAGCAGCAGCAGCAGCTGCTGCTGCTGCTGCTGCTGCTGCTGCTGCAGAGACCGTGGCTTTCCCATGAAGTGCTGCCGCAGCTGCAGCTGCTGCTCTCGGAGCTCTTCCAGCAGTGGTTTAGGGGCTTCTGTTGCATTGCTGCCCTGCTGCTGTTGCTGCTGCTGCTGCTGCTGCTGCTGCTGGTTGGAGCCCGCAGGCGCTGCTATGGTAACAGGAGCTGCTGCTGCTGCTGCTGCTGCTGCTGCTGCCTGCGGGGAATTACCAGCAGTATCAATGTCGCTCTCTGTGTCTATGTAAACTACAAGCTCGTCATCGGACTCCGCAGCAGCAGCAGCAGCTGCTGCTGCTGCTGTTGCAGCTGCTGCAGCGCGCGGCGATTGCTGTTCCTTCCTCCTAGCATAAGAACCACCAGATGCAGCAGCAGCACGGTGTGCTGCAGGCATCTGAGAAGCAGCAGCAGCAGCCGCAGCATCAGGAAGTTCTGCTGCTTTCCTAAAAGCAGCAGCAGCACGCCTGCCACTGTTGCTGCCACCGGCGCTTGCTGCTGTTGCTGCTGCTGCTGCTGCTGCTGCTGCAGACAGAGCGGGAACGGCGGCTGATTCGGCAACAGGGGGAAACAGCTGCAGCGGCTGCTGGCTGCCATGGTACTGCTGCTGCTGCTGCTGCTGCTGCTGCTGCTGCTGCCTGAGATGTTCGTGTCGCTGCTGCAACGGCCGCTGTTGTGAATGCGCTGCTGCTGATTTCAGAGCGAATCCAGATGGAGAGCATGCAGCAGCAGCAGCAGCAGCAGCAGCAGCAACAGCAGCAGCAGAAGTAGGCGAAGCTGCTTCCGAAATTGCTGTGTTGCTGCTGTTCGGCCGCTGCACGTTTTCTATCTGCCGTTCCACGGAAACCCGAGCAGCAGCTGGAGTAGCAGCAGCAGCAGCAGCAGCAGCAGCAGCAGCGGAGGGTGCGCCTGTTCGCGTTGCTGCTGCTGCTGCATGAGCAGCAAGTGCACTGGATGCATCAAGTTGCTTCTGTTGTTGCTGCTGCTGCTGACCCAGCTGGTGCAGCTGCTGCTGCCCCTCGTTCTGCTGCTGCTGCTGCACTTGCTGCCGCTTTTGCACTTGCTGCTGCTGCCGCGGTTGCTGCTGCCGCTGCTGCAGCTGCTGCAGCTGACTCCCTGGGCAGCAGCTAGCAACAAAGAACTGCTCCAAAAGACACAAATGACAAGTCTGCATGTCAACTACGAGCTGCCGTTTGCTTTTGACGAAGAAGCGGCAGCTGCTGCTGCAGCAGCAGCAGCTTTGCAGCCGCATCTTCCAGGGCTGCAGGAAAGCAGCAGCGCGCAGCAGCAGCAGCAGCAGCAACAGCAGCATCTCTGCAGGGGAGCCCCAAGGGAATCGGAAGAGCAACTGCTGCTGCTGCTGCTGCTGCTGCCGTTTCTGCTGAGCAAGCGCCTCCGGGCTCCTCCACAGTGCCTGCTGCTGCTGCTGCTGCTGCTGCTGCTGCTGCTGCAGCTCCTGCTCCTGCTGCTCCCTAATGCGACGCAGCAGCGGCAGCACAGCCACAGCACTGCCCAAAGAGCGCCATCTCGTCCAGGCGTTGGTCTGCTGCTGCTGCTGCGGCTGCTGCTGCTGTTCCTGCTGCTGCTGCTGCTGCTGCTGCTGCTGCTGCAGGCAGTCAGCCAGCTCCCGCAGCATTGCTCGGGAGATACAAACCCGAGACCTTCCCCCCACAAAGCCGCCAAATGTTATTCCGCTGTGCAGCAAAAAGCGACATGGCGTGTCTTCTACAGATTTCTGCTGCCTGCGCGGCAGCAGCAGCAGCTGCTGCTGCTGCTGCTGCTGCTGCTGCTGCTGTTGCTGCAGCGCCGCCGGGGCCTGATCCTGCTGGTTCTTGTGCAGCGCTTTCCAGTGAGAAGCTAGCTTCTCGGCGGCTGCTGCTGCTGCTGCTGTGTGCGGCTGCAGCTGCTGCCGCCACAGCAAGCTGGAAGTGCTGCTGCTGCTGCTGCTGCTGCTGAGAGCATCGACAAGAAGACTTGCTGCTGCCTCCGGCACCCGCCAGCCCAACACCCACTCTCCTGCTGCAGGGTCCTCGCTGCTGCTGCTGCTGCTGCTGCTGCTGCGGTGGCCGCCGCCTTTAGAAGCAGCAGCAGCAGCAGCAGCAGCAGCTTGGGCCTCCGGCAGCACATGCAGCAGCACTGGCTGAGGCAGCCCTGCCCGACGGCCTTGGCAGCCGCACAGCTGCTGCAGAGAATGCAGCAACGGGCCCCGAAACTCGCTTCCTGCTGCTCTTGCTGCTGCTGCTGTTGCTGCTGCTGCTGCTGCTGCTGCTGCTTTTTCCGTTGTTATTTTTCCCGAACTTGTTCCCGCTGCAGCACTGCTTGCTGCTGCTGCCTCAGAGCTGCATGCCCCCCCATGCAGCAGCGCCGCAACGCTTCGCATCACTAAAGGCAATGAAATGCTGCTGCTGCTGTCGCTGCTGCTGCTGCTGCTGCCGTCGGTGCTGCTGCTGCACGTGGGACTACTGCCTGCTGCTGGAGTGCTGCTGCTTGTATCCTCTGGCTTGGCTGATGAGCCTTGCTGCGTTAACCTCCAGCTTCTGCTGCTGCTGCAGCTGCCGCTGCTGTTGCTGGCGCTGCTGCTGCTGCTGCTGCTGCTGCTGGGCCACGGCAGGCACTGGACAGCAGCAGCAGCAGCTGCTGCTGGCGGCTGCTGCAGCGCCGCGAGAACACCAGAGCATTCTGCTGCTGCCAAGGCGAACGCGCTGGCTTCCTTTGCGCGGAGTGCCCCGGAGCAGCTGCAGCAGCAACTGTTGCTGCTGCTGCTGCTGCTGCTGCTGCTGCTGCTGCTTTCTCTGGTGTCGCCACTGCTGCTGCACGCAGACTTGCTGTCGCAGCAGCAGCAGTAAACGGCAGTCAGCACCAGCAGCTTTTGCTGCTTGCTGGTCCACCGCAGCAACGAGCTGAAGCCTCCTTCGTCCCGCTGCTGCTGCACTTCCTGCTGCTGCTGCTGTGCGCTGCAGCGTGTTTCGTCCGGAGCAGCAGCAGCAGCAACAGCTGCTGCTGCTGCTGCTGCTGCTGAGTCCTCGCGGCTCCGCTGCCGCACAGCGCATGCATCCAGCAGCGCTGCGCTCTCGCGGAGGCTCCAAGCAGCAGCAAATGTAGCAGCAAAGGAATCCCGCAGCTGCTGCAGCCGTCCTTCCCTGCAGCAGACACAGATGCAGCAGCAGCAGCAGCAGCAGCAGCAGCAGTGGAAGGCGGTGCAGCATCAGCACGCGGGACGAGCAGCAGCAGCAGGACCTGCATTTAGTGGCAGCAACAGGAGAAATCAAACCCTGGCAACAAAATTGTCCCTTTGCCGAGCCCCCCAGGGGCCGACACCTAAACCCTAAACCCTAAACCCTAAACCCTAAACCCTAAACCCTAAACCCTAAACCCTAAACCCTAGCCCACGAGAGGATGCGGGAGGCCTCAGCAGCTGTCAGAGCAACGCCGCATTGCAGGCCCGTGGCGGAAGCAAGTAGAAACAGGTCACTGATGCCCCCCTCATTGAACTTGCTGCTGCTGCTGCTGCTGCTGCTGCTGCTGCTGCTGCAGCAAGGCAAATGCTGCGCGGCCAACGGGTGCCGCAGCAGCACGACGGGCACTGGGTGCAACGCGCCCAGTAGCCTGCAGCAGCAAAACAGCAGCAAAAATGAATTAATTAATTTCCTTAATCTTCCGAGACATTGTTTGGAATTTGGTGGCAAGAAATAATGGAAGAGACCCACTGCTGCTGCTGCTGCTGCAGTTGCCACCGCTGCTGCTGCTGCTGCTGCTGCTGCAGTTAGTTCTGCTGCAGCTGCTCTCCACAGCCGCGTCGCTTAGTTGCAGCAGCAGCAGGCAGCAGAGCAGCAGCAGCTCACCAGTAGAAGCGAAGCAGTGGGTGCGGCTGCTGCTGCTGCTGCTGCTGCAGCAGCTGCTGCGCATCCGCATAAGACAGGCGGCAGCAGACAAAGACACTCAGAAGCTCCAGCGCGATTCCCCCCTTAAGCTCCTCAGCTGCAGCTGTTGCATCCTCCGTCGCTGCTGCTGCTTCTGCTGCTGCTGCTGCTGCTGCTGCTGCTGTTGCTGCTGCTGCTGTTGCTGCCAGCGGCAGCACCCGCAGCAGCCGCCGCTCCATGAGGGTCACTTGGTCCAGGCCTTTGCCGTTAAGGATCGTTTGCGGGCCCATGACTCTCAGGCCCACCACTTGCTGCTGCTGCTGCTGTTGCTGCTGCTGCTGTTGCTGCTGCTGCTGCTGCTGCTGCTGCTGAGCCTGCAGCAGGTCCGCCAGACTGCATAACTCCACCCACGACGGCTCGTAGAAGAGACTCCTGAGCTGCAGAGGAGAGAGACCGCAGTCGCACAGGAAGTGCACGAAGCAGCAGCAGCAGCAGCAGCAGCAGCAGCAGCAGCACCAACAGCAGCAGCAGCAGCAGCAGGATCTCACCATCCAGCCAGTTTGCTGCAGCGCGGCCTGCAGCTGCAGCAAGGTCATTTGCAGCTCTGGGCTAAGGGTCTCCGCCGTCAGCAGCAGCTGCTGCAGGGCAAAGGAGACACCGCAGTCCGTTGCTGCCTGCAGCAGCAAGCTCGCGAACTCCCTGCTGCTGTCTGTGCTGCTGCGCTTTGCCTGCTGCTGCTGCTGCAGCAGCAGCAGTGCAGCCCCACTGCGGCTGCTGCAGCACCTGCTGCTGCTTATGCTTTGCTGCGCGCATGCAAGGCGGACCTCAAGGGAGTCCTGAAGCGGAAAGGACGGAGACAACTTTGCTGCTGCTGCTGCTGCTTCGGGCTGCTGCAGCTTGCTGCAGGCCAAAGGCAGCAGCAGCGGCAGCTGCTGCTGCTGCTCCAAGTCCCTCTTGTGGATAGCCCTCACAGCAGCGAGCGCAGCGCGCCCCAAAGGAAGCAGCTCTGGGCGACTAGCAGCAGAATCCCACGCTGCAGCAGCAGCTGCTGCTGCAGGAACAGTTGCTGCTGCTTCTGCTGCTGCAGAAACAGCTGCTGCTGCTGCTGGTGGCTGCAGTAAGCCGCGCAGCGGCACTCCAGCGGCGAGCCAAAGAGCTGCAGCAGCAAAAGAAATGTCCAGAGACGGTGCCCATATAGCTGAAACAGACTCAGTAGCTGCTGCTGCTGCTGCTGCGCTGTTGCTGCTGCTGCTGCTGCTGCTGCTGCTGCTGCTGCTGCACTGGCATCCCCGCAAGCGGTTTTCCAAAACTCTTGAAGCTGCCTCTTCTGCCAACGAGATGCGACACTGCATGCAGCACGCCGTGCCACAGTCGCTGCTGCCGTTGCTGCTGCTGCTGTTGCTGCTGCTGCTGTTGCTGCTGCTGCTGCTGCCTTCAGCGCTGTTAGCGCCGCTGCTGCTGCTGTCGCTGGCGCCTGTGGGAGATTTGCTGCTGACGGGAGGGGGCAGGCAAAGGAAGACCGAAGTGGACACGCCCGCGGTTCGGCGCTGCTGCAGCTGCTGCAGCAGCGGCAGCTGCTGCTGCTGCTGCTGCTGCTGCAGCTGCTGCTGCAGCTCAAGAACCGCAGCTACGCCCGCACAAAATGCCCTCAGCTCCTCAGCAAGCCGCAGGGCCCCACACTTTGAGGGGGGGGCGAATGGCAGCAGCACCACTACGTTGGATGCCACCTGGACATTGCTGCTGCTGCTGCTGCTG